ATACTTCATCTGAGAAACTCAGACTCATCAGATATCCCCAGCTTTGACCAAGCTAGTAGGCCTTAAATAAACAAGCACAACCATGAGAAGAGAATTAAGCAAACACAAAACCAACAGTAATTTTCCAGTGAGCATTTCCTTCTGTGGACATTAGACTTGTGCTATGTACTTCACAAAGGAAGCCAGCCATTCTCGGGGAGAGACAATTAGACATGGCAGTCACAAAGTTATTTCTGTCTGGCAAACCTTTAAAAAACAAATAGCCCACTCTCTTTATTAAGACAATCACCTAGAATCATTCTTTTCAAGTTTACAGTTACCATGGCCCTTATAATTCTGATATAAACTGTGGTCTTTGATTTACATTTCTTCTAACTTGTTAATATTATGAAACATGCTAGCAAAATTTATGAGGCATTTAACATGATTAAAATTAGTGCAGAAGCTCATCAAATACTCAGAAGGGAAAAGATCCACCCTACTTAATTCTCCAAGAGCAACCTTTGCTTCAAAACCAGAAGCACCCTGGGGAGCTGCTCTTGTTACATATTTCACCTGAGGAGGAACCACAGCTCCAAAGCCCAGCTGAATCACACTGGAATAAGTTTTCATTAGTAACTTGGTCTAGAGAAAAGGAGTATGAGTGACTTACATCTGAGAGAAAGAATGCCTACTAAGATGTTCAGGATCCCTTCATGCAGGGAAAATAAATCTTTCTCATCTGAAATTTTGTACTCCATCATCCAAGTCCCTCTAAAGCCCTTTTCTCCATTTGCAGTTGCTTCTTCAAGGCTGCAGAGGTTAGACAACTCCACTGTTCGCACATACTCATGTTGACCAGCCACTCAAAGGAGGCAGCACTGACTTGCTGTGAGTAGTTTTCCTTGGCTGACAAAGAAACAAATGCCCACAAAAATGGAACCTACATAGACCAGTAAATATACACCATACTCTTCGGTATGGCCTAGCAGTACAGAAGTGAGATAACCCCTTTGAATTGCTAGAGGGTAGAAAGGAATCTTTGTTTTAACTTTAATGTAGGATTTCCTATCACCACCCGTCAGCTGACGTTGAAGGTCTGTCTGGTGGAGGCCTGTGACTACCTTAGTGCATGCCAGCAGGTTGCTATCATAGTCTTCTACTTTCAGTAACATTTTAGAGTGATGCACGTAGCAATAGTTATTGATGAGAGAGTTTGACACTTGCAGAATAACACACTTTTAAGTGAGTATTTTATATAGAGGAAGCTGAAATCAGAGAGTGGTTTTCAGAGTCAGAGAGTGGCAGAGATGGAAAATGATTTGGAGGTGATTTTATATTTTAAAAAAGGTATAACTGAAAATTTTGAACTTTTAAGATGTAGTTTTTCATCAACATGATATATAATTGTTGAGAATAAATATGAATTTTAAGTATCTTGGGCTTATCGCATGGGAAAGTTAAATTACTTTGTAAGAATAGCAGACAGGGCTAACAGAAAACCTTGATACATAACCATAAGATACAAGGCATTTCTATTCACAGAAATACTAGTTGATGGAACTGACTTCCAAATCCATACCAAAACTGAGTTTTATTGGCAGTCTTAGTAAACCTGTGGTTTCCTACATTATAAATGTCAAGTGCTCATAAAACATTTTTTAACCTAAAACCATGCTTTACCAAAAACACTTTACTATCTACAGTGAATTAATATTTTGGAAAAATGCTTTTTAGAGCAGTAATTAGAACAAAACGTGTGCACAGAGAAGCAAAGAGGAAGCAGTTATAGGCAGAGGAACAGCTCATCTTGTGCTGTTTATTCATTGCCTTGAACTAAAAGCACCACACACTGTATGGTTGGTCTTTGGGGCCTAATGTGGGAGCTGGTGTGCTGCCTGCCTCACTGAGGTCACTATTTGAAGTTGCCGATGATAAAACAAAAAACCTTCAGATGTGAGATTTAATTTCAGAATCTAAAACCCTAGTATTAAAATTTTAATTACGGCATACAATTTGGCATCTAATTAGGCATGATCTAAAGTATACAATAATTTGGCTAATTTGGCTAAACAAGAGGCTTTCCAAAGTGCTGTTTGTAATAGCTTCTACACATAACATGATAATTTTCCCAGAAATGAATACTTCACTATCTTACAAATGACTATATAATATGCTGGGTAGTACTTGCTTCTAAGCTCTTGACTGATGGGTGGAATAACTGTAACTATTTGCAATCTGTATTTTGTGCATGGCATTCAAGTTGATATTTCCTAGTTTTTACCATTAGTTGGGAGAAAGGTATTTATTTATCATCAGTTAATCTAGGACAACCAATTTTTATTTTGATGAAACATTAGCACTTTCATTATTAAAGTAATTAAAAACAAATTTATTATTTATTTTGTGTCAGGAAAATTGTGAACTTTTCCTAAATAAATTATGACAAAAAAAATGGATGATGTCTCATCACTGACTCAGAGTCTTTAAAATGTCATTTATTGTCATTATGTTTTGTTGCAATTAAACTAAAGTATCTTTATAAGAGTTCTAAAATATATGAGCCAGAGTACAAATCTAGTCTATGGGTTAGGTCAGCTACACCCAGTTTGATGAATGACAAAGCCATACATTTTTCCAAAGAACTGCTAACATTTTCTGTTAACACCTTTTTGAAAGTATTACTGCCATACTTCCCACAGAATTGAGCAAGTATTATTTATTAACGTTGCCTGCACAAAATTGGAGAAGAGCAAATGTTCATTACGTACACCTGTTGGCTACATCCTAGCTGATACCCTATTCATTCTCTCGGGACAGGAGGAGGCAGGCTGCATGCAGGGACACCGGGGGAGGGGGGGCGGGGCGGGGGCGCGCAGTGGGTGGATTTCCCCGCCTGGGACCGTACACTGAACTAATGCTGTCCATTAAATATTCTAGATGTCGTCTTTTCAGTCTACCCTACCTAAAGTGCTCTACCATCGAAGATGAGCAGCGGACACCTTTGTGAGGACCGAATTCTAAGGGAATAACCACAAGTAATGGTTTATTAAATTGAAAATGTGATTTTGGGGGAAGTCACATATTAAGTTTGATTAGTTTACGACAATTGTAAGAAAATGCTTAAGTCATTTGAATAATAAACATCATCCACATCATAAATTCTGTACAAGAGATGCTTTTATGAAATGGAGCCACTTGTTTTTCATGTTTTATTGTAATATACTAGGCTTTTATGTATTACTGTGTATGTATTTCTTTTTAAATGTGTAAGTCTTATGTAAATGGATATAAATATGATTTTTTAAAAAATAAAATATATGGTTCATGGAGTCTCTAGTGCAAACATTTGACAATACCCAGTACTGTTTGTATTTTACCATTCCACCATTTTTACAGTTTTTGAATTATAACAGTCAAATTGATGTTTCTTGGAAGCATGTTTCATGCCTCCACATTTCACCTTCAAGTCTGTCAATACTTAAAGCTGAAAACCTGCCTCTGATCATGTAAAAAAGAATGATTTAACCTGGAACTGGAGCCAAAAACAGACCTTTAAAGGCAATCAGGGACGTCCTCTATCCTTAGAAATAGCACTGTGATGGCTCGATCTCCTTTTCAATACAAAACAAAGCCAAACTGTTTACAAGAGTCAAAACAATTATTTAAAAAAATTTATAAAGAAAAAAACCATTATCTTCTCTTGTTACCTGTGGACCAATAAAAAAGAAATTCTTTGCTAAGAACCACATGCTCATTCAAATATCTTGAACCGCCAGCCAGCACTGTTCAGTGAACATCGCCACTGCAGAGTCTGAGCTCGTTTCCACCGGAAGAAAACAAAACCCCCAAGCCCCTCCCTTTTGTCCGTGTAACAGGGCAATAGCCGGACTCCTGTCTAATGTTATAAGCTTTTAGCCAAGATAGCCTTGTTTTGACTTCCCTGAAGTCAATCTTATCAGAGGAAATAAACGAGAGACAGAACGATTAACATATATAGTGTATAAAGTATAGAAGAGTAATTTCTTCCCTGTGGCTTTATTTGGTGGTGTTACTGTTGTTTATTCTTTGTTTATATGGGAGATTTCAAAGTAAAACCTATTTAAAGATACATTTATCTAATTGCTGATTTTCTGCTGTTTGATCTTATGAAGCGCAAGACCTGTCATTAGTAATTTCTTTTTTGTATTTAATTTGCTATGTTTGCACGTACATTACATTTGTTTTGATGTCTATTTTTGTTTAAACAGATTCAGTCAAAAGGTAATGGTAACAGAAACCCTCTCCATTGTCAATAAAAAAAAAAGAATACTTCCAGTTCTTTGTTTAAGCTTTGTTTTCTGGTCACATAAAGTTTAACAATTTACTTAGAATTGTTCTTTTAGGGACTTTCTTCAAAAGTGGGCCGGCCACAAGGGGGAGTACTAAACTTCCTTATGAGAGTGATTTTAAATTTTCCGGAAACGTTGCCTGGACGGGAACAATGGGAAAGAGCTTCTGCAGCTCATCCGAACATGGGGATGTTGACTTACAAAAGTGAAATATAATTAGAAACTATGATATTATAACAATATAAACTAGATTTGCGTCTACTCATACAAGATAGAGATCACCAGCAAGAAATATTAATCATTTATAATAGACTCAAATATACAGGGATAAAAAAAGATCCAGCTACTTGTCTCAAAAAAGCATAAAATACTCTTTAATGTATAGGATAATATCTGCCAGATTCTAAAGTCCATTTAATCCATTTAAAAATCCATTTAATGGCCATTTATCAACACTATGAATTTTCACATTTTTAATGATCAAAGTCTTTTCAAATACAACTTTATATAAATCAAGATGCTTTTTAAATGTAAAACAGGTCTTGCTTGCATATACTCAATATATTTTCATGAGCAAAATAACTCAATTAATTGAAAAACTATAAATTGTAAAAGAAAATATTTATATTTTTTTCCAATGCCTTACAGTAAAAAAAAAAAAGGAAATATGAAAGAGAATCATAGAGAATTTATTCCAGCAGACTTAAATATGATTGGATTTTTAGTAATATTATATTGTTATTTTTAAATATACATTTCATTTGGAACATTTTAGGTACTATGTAGTAAAAGTGCTTTATGATAAAAATATTAAAATAGGAAATTCCTTTTTTCTTCCAAAATTGAAACAATCTGACGGCTTCAGTGTCTCTCTTGCCCCACCCACATTTATCAATATGAAAGTAACAGTACTTTCTCTGACCCTGCAAAGGAGATAAATTTCCTCAATTAGATACAAGAAAAAGCCACTTTCCCAGTTTCGTGCATTGTTTTCTTCTCACTCAACTGGAAAGCAACTCAAGTCTGCTTGGTGAAGTGTCCCCTTTACGTGTGATTACCAGGAAAAATGCGCAAGAGGACCAAAGATGTACCTTTACACATTTCTTGCATCTGTACAATATACCTTGAGGTTATACCTTGCAAATAATACATTTTCAGATGAAGAATTTGTCATTTCAAATTAATTGAATTTTATATGAAAATGTAAGGTAAAAAAATTAAATGCTAAGACATGGAAAATGGATTATTTGTTAAGATTACAGATGGGATAGCAGATTAAATGTACCCAAATAGAAGCTATAGTTTTAAGGAACCCAAGAGCTTCAAAGTCTAAACGGAGTGTCTATCTAGTTGGTTTAATTCAGATTATTAAAATAATCAACAAAGAACAAGTAGGATGACTATATTGTTTCCAGGTGTAACAATCAGGAAGCCAACTTAAGCAAATAGGAATTTACTTGAAGTCATTGATATTATAGTTTATGATCCAAATAAAACTCACATTTTCAAAATGTCTTTACACAGTTTGTAAGCAATTTTTATAAAACAAGTAAGTAAATAAGCTCTTAATCTATTATTTCTAACATATTTTTTAAGTACCCAGATTATTATGTTAGGACAGCTGCTCTTGAGACTAATATTCCTGATGGACTGAAGGATTAAGGAGTATTTCAGCACCATTGAAGACTCAATGGGCATGGCATATTGTTGTGTGTAAATGTATTCTTTGTTGACTGATAACATGCCCAATCCTATGTAAACCAAATAATTATCTGCAACTCTCTAGTCTGGTTAATTGGCGCATTACCATAAGCTTATTAAGAAAGACTCATTTTCAATTTTTTAAAAAATAATTCTCAATAGTTTTATAGAAGCTTAAATGGAACAATGTACTTGGATGTCACAATATTGTTTTAGTGGGTTATTTAAAATGAGAAATTTTACATAAAAATCTGGATTTGTTTGTTTGTTTCTCTTAGCATAATGTAAAAGCTTTACATTTCTTCCTGAAGAGCTTTCTTAGCCAGCCCACCTCCTTTCTACATCATTTTCTTGTTTCCTTAAGAAGCTGGAATCATTGAGAGCAGTCAGCTAAGAACAGAGACAGGAGGAGGGGCTCCAGGAACCCTCCTCTCCATGACCGAGAGAAAGGACAGGGGCCTGTGTTCTGCTACAGGCAGGCAATTCCCCTTGACCAAATAACAAATGAGCTGACCACAGAGCTGTACCCTGGCAGTCAGTCTTCCCTCAGGAAATGACTAACCGGGCCCTCCTACCTAGAAATCATCTAATTAGATGATGACCATGCATGCGGGCATCTCAAAAATATTAGAAAACATGGCAAATTTCCGTAAGAAAAATTACAATTATTTTCTAACTGTAACTTGAGTTTTAGGTTTTGGGCCAACGCTGCAGATTTCTGTTTTTAGGAAGTGGCTCTATATTAATGTCACTTTCAATTAAAATGCTTTTTCTGGGAGGGGGAGTATACTTTTTAAAAATCATACATTAATTTTTCTAAAATTAAAATGCTGGACAACCTATAATGAGTCATGTTACAGATAACTGATAGCAATGCTAACTGGTTCTAATCAAACAGAAGGCGCAGATCTTTCACTAGTCTTCCAGTGTGTTTTTTTAGACCAAGCTTCACAATTCACATTTCATTTTTCTAGTAATTTCTATTTAAATATTTATTCCTGGGATGTAATTCAAAAAAACTTGACTTCAATAAGAAAAATCGACTCAAAAAGTCATGATGCCTGCTTCAGCACTTCCTCTATGTGCCTGAAAATGCTGGGGTCTTCAATTGTAGGCGTTATCTGGAACAGGAGAAAAAGGGAGAGACATGTGAACGCACCTCCTTGAAGCTCTTTCACCCTCTCTGTGATTAAATCATTATATGCAATGTTGTGTTCCCCATTATCTTATAATACTCATATGGAAATATTCAAAAATAGGAATCTTTGAACCTAAGATTTTAAAATGTATTAATATCTACAGTTTCCAGGGTGATAACATAAACTGTTCCATTAGCAAAACTATTGGTCCTCAGTACTACTTTCTCCAGAATTCCTGTTACGGGGCTTTCAATGTGCCTCTATAGAAAGAAAATAAATATATTTTTTTTTGCATTTGCTCATACAACTACTCTACTATAAAAATATGTATACCTATGCATGTATAACTTACAAATTTTAAAAAATATATATGCTTGGATCAGCCTAAAATTTCCTAAAATAATTTTAACTCAATACAATTAGCATATGTATCAATTAGAAGAGTTTAAACATGTATAGCCAACCTCCATTACTTGCTTTCTCACTAATAGCTACTAATGACTACAATGAAGGAAAATGTACTTTTAATTCAATAAGGTTGAGTTTCCACCAGTGTGCTTGAATTTAACTGACATATTTGCTAATAGTAAGAATATTTTCACACATGAATTCTTGTATTCTCAAAGCATATGGTTTTGATTAATCTTTGTTTTTCCAAAACCTTTGTTCCTACAGAAAGAGTGACTATGCAACTTCTCACCATTTTAAAAAAATTCTATGATATGTGTTGTAGGGGTACAATTCAATGCTTGAGAACCATTTTTAAAAGCTTTGCTGAAACATTGAAAGAAAAAAGAAACCAACAGAGTCAAGAGGGAAGCGGGGGGCGGGGAAAGGGAAGGGAAGGGTCAAGTCAAGGAACATGTATAAAGGACCCCTGGACAAAGCCAGAGTGGGGAAGGACTGAGGGAGGGAGGTGGGGGAGGGGGCAGGGAAAAGTGGTGGCGGGAAGGTGGAGACAAATGTATTTGAACAATAAAAAAATAAATCGATAAACAAATAAACAAAATATTTTCATTTATATACAAAAAAATAAAAAAATAAAAGCTTTGCTGATGTCAATGAAATGGAGAAAAACCTTTTCAGAACCCAGCATTAAACATCCTTAAAAATTTACCTTGTAAGGCTTGCCATTGACAAGGGCAGACAAAGCTGACCGGGGAATTTTGCCAGATCTAGTTTTGGGTAACTGTTTGACAAAAACTGCGCTTCGAAAAGCAGCCACAGGGCCAATGCTCTGTCTAACATGTTTCACAATTTCTTCCAAAACTTGTTCCTCAGTTGTATTTATACCTAGAGAGAAAGTTCAGATGGTAAGCACTGAATTAATCTTAATCATTCAGGGCCCAAACAGTCAGGGAGGACAGCTCTTCTCACCTTTTCTCAACACGCAGAGGGCTAGGGGGACATGGCCTTTCAAAGGATCTTCTTTGCCAACAACAGCACAGTCAGCAACAGTGCCATGGGAAAGGACCGACTGTAAGAAGGAAAATCACTCATTAATGTGTATGTGTAAGTTATTTTAATTGGGAAAATAAGTACATGTCAGAGAACTCAAAAAACCCACAGCTACTAATTCACGATTCACATTATTACTACAGGGGTGAATGGTTAGGATCCCCACTGTAGTCACTCACCAAAGGCCGACAGTAATTAAGACAAATTGCTTAGGGTACCTGGAAAGTAAGGGAATAGTTTCTTCATCTCAATCATCATTGATGAAGTCAGGGAGAATACGCAGTGGACACTACATGTAAGCAGGTTGCAACAGACCTCTGAAAATAGATGGCCTCATGCTGCTGGCTACCATAAGCACACCTACAGGAGGAGTCCATGGCAGCCCCATGACGAAATACATAGTGATTTTATTTTTGCAACTGTTATTAAGCAAAGAATAGAGTATTTCTTTTCTTGAGTGACCATCCAACCAGAGAGGACAAAGTAATACATATATTTCAGTGACTACAAATCTCTTATGGCTAGAGAAGAGAGCGAACAGCATGCCAACAGCTCACTGGGCAGTTCTCAATTCTTCTTCTAGTCATTCATTCAGCACGTATTTATTAACTACTCCCTGGCTCCCAACCACTGCACTAGGCTCAATGGAGCAAAAATAGGCTGAGCACTCTCTCATGGTGCTTATACTCTAGTGGGGGAGAGCAATATGAATAACTAGTCATAAATATTTAATTATGATAAATGTCTAAATATAAAACTGGTAAGGGCTTTGAGAAAATAACTTGGGTTTTGGTATGTGAAATAGAGCAAAAGTAACAAATTTGGCAGAAGGATATTGATCTCAGAGAAGGCTTCCCTTAGGAAATAGCAATAAGCTCAGGTCTAAAGGATTCGTAGACAGCGATTAAGCAAAGAGGAGAGAGCCCTGCCGAAGAACTGCACATGTACATTCACACCTGAGGGAAACAGTGTGGCTGGGAAGCAGGGCCAGAGTGAGGACGGAGAGCTGCAGAAGGAGAGGCTGTGCAAAAGGTGCCCAACTGTTATTTTAGCAGCACCGGGAAGGTAATAAATCACTTCCAGCAGCTGAGGAAGAGATGCAAGATCAAATGGATTTTTTAAATTAACTTTATTTTTTAGAGTAGTTTTAGATTCGTAGAAAATTGAGCTGAAGTAAAAAAGTTCCCACATACCTTCTCCCAGTTTATAAACAGCCTTCTCCACCATCAAGACCCCTCACTGCAGTTGTGTATTTGTTACAACTGATGAACCAACATTGACACATCATGAACACCGTAGCCCATAGTTTACTTTAGAGTTCACTCTTGGTATTGTACATTTTATGTGTTTTAGGACATGTAGCCACCATTATAACATTTTACAGAATAGCTTCATTGCCCTAAATATCCCCTGTGCTCTGCCTATTCATCCGTCACTCCCCGCTAACCTCTGGCAATCCATGATCTTTTTACTGTCTCCTGAGTCCTTTTCCAGAACACTATAGAGCCTTCTCAGATGGGCTTTTTTCACTTCAAAGTGGATTTGAAAAACACAAACTTGTCTCATAGTGGAGAATACAGGGAGGATACTTAGGAGCAAGTATCAGAGCTTGTGCACTGAAACCACAGGAGAGGCTACTATAGTGGACTAAGGAAATGGTAGTGGGAGTGAAAATTACAGAGTTTATTTAGAAGTAAAATGGAAACAATTTGATGATAAATTGGATATGGAGCATGGAGAAGGCAGAAGCATTAATAATGATTCTGTGTGTTTGGTTGAGCAGGTGGTTGGATAGTGGAATCATTTTCTAAGTAAGAAAGTGCTAGCGAGGGCTAGGTTTGAGAAGAAAGAGCACGTAATATGTCCTGGAGATGTTTTATTGAAGTACCCTTGAAACATCTGAGTGAATGCAGTCGGAGCTGGGGAGAGTCTCAATCTAGAGACATGTATTTGGATGCCATTAATGTATACAGGCTAATGAAGGCTGTGGATGTGGATGAGATTAGGAAAAGCAATGAGAAGAGTGAGAGCCTTAAGGAACTCCAACAGTGAACGGCTACATGAAGAAGCAGCAGCTGGTAAACTAGACACAACCAGACAGGTAGGAGAAAAATAAACAGAGCCTGGGGCATTTCACTTTCAAGTCCCATACTTTGCATGAAGAAATTTTTTTCCTTTTGATTAAGCCAAGCTGAAAATGAATGTCCTCTCTTCTGAACTCCTGGAAAACTCAATGAACTGCTGGAATGTTTGGTACAAACACAGTGTACTACCTCACATGGCCCTAATTAAACATACAAATCAACATTTCTCCTATATCCTATTGTTAGCGTCCACTCAAGTATTGAGTTGTAAGGGTTCTCATCCACATAGCTTTTTACTTCTACAGGGCTGAAGGTAGGATGTGTTAAATAAATAATTTTTTAGTATATGTTTTATTAATTTCACTGCTAAGGTAAAGATGTCCAGCCCGTGCTGGAGTGGCTCAGTGGAGTGGGCATCATTCCAGGAATCAAAAGGTCGTCAGTTTGTTTCCTGGTCAGAGCACATGCCTGGGTTGCGGGCCAGGTCCCCGAATGAGGGTGCGCGAGAGGCAACTGATCGACGTTTCTCTTGCACATTGATGTTTCTCTCCCTCGCTTTCTCCCTCCCTTCTCCTCTCGCTAAAAGTAAATAAAAATCTTTTTAAAAAATGACATCCATGCCCTCTTTCCATTAGTCGGGGCTGACTAAAAGCTTCTTCGAGATGAACACTATACCAGCCATGCAATGCTACGTTCTCCCACTGTGTCAGTCTGAGCTCTCAAAATGCTCCCAACAGCTTTGCCATCTGTTAAGGTCTTATTTACTTTTTAGGTCCGTGCGTTAGGAGTAGAAACAAATTTTACAGCCAAAAATTTGTTTTGGTAGTTAGTACAGTCAGTCACCATTTCATGGAAGAGAATATATACTTTGTCTTAGTAGATGGGATATAGATGGGATAGTCTCAACCCTACAATTCTGATTTACTATTCTCATTTTAGTGAGTAGAGATAAACTCTTTTACCTGGCTAACCAGAGTTATAATTGTCAAAAAGCATTTATTAAAGTATTCACTGGTGCCATAAGCCTCTATACCTGAGTTTTTGAATGCCAAGATATCAGTTCAAATCACTGTAAAAAAAAAAGTCATTCATGCAGATGTTTTGTCATCTAACCAATGTGAGTGTAATTTAAACTAAATTAAACATCAAAACTTCCAGTTTGCTGTTCTTTCATTTTGCTATTTTAAGTTCACCATGTTTTCATCCTCAGTCTTAGCAGTTTTAAAAGTGGATGGGAAAATGTTGACTGGTTTTCTCTAAAGGCAGGGAGTATTTTAAAATCAGAAATAATACATAACACAGTTCTCTATAATGTCAAAGCTTCCCACTTTCACCACCTGTGCCTAAATTCTTAAAAATACATGAGAAACAATCCCTTTCTATAATTGCATGTAAGTGGGGTTTATTAACATAGTGGATAAAATATTATATTCATCTATCAGTGTTAAAAAGATACTATAAAAAAAAGGAGACAGCTTTTCCTATTGGCCCCATCAATGATATTGGTATGTAAATACTGATTTCAATAGCTGAATCTTTAAAAACAAAAGCATCAAAATATGTATTGGCAATATTTGAGGGGCAAAAGCCAGCCAAATGTCCTGCAGGGGTAAATAACCAAACACCACGTTCACACGTTCCCTCTGTATAAATTGTATGAAGCATCCTTGATTAATAGGTAGGAACACTCCCCTCTGCAAAACATACAACTTCAATGGTAACTGTCTCACCAAAAGTGAGTATATAAAGGTTATGTTGATAGGTCTGATAAATGTATGTCATTCATTGTTACTGGTGTACTGCCATTTTTGTGTACACTTTAACTAATTTAAAAGGTTGCACCTTTAGTGGGCTATATTACTTAAGTTTTTCAATTCTGTTTTTAAGTATTTTCATTTAAAAAAATCATTTAAATCATGCAGCCTCATCAGATTTAAGGAGCTGAAAAAGAGGAATGCTTTTTCTCTGTTGAATATGTACTTTACAGAAATATAGTCAATTTGAAGAAATCATTCCTAAAATAATGAACAGAATAGCTACCTGGGAAAGCAAACAATGACACATTGGTCACAACAACCTTCAAAAGACAAATTATATGTGAACACTGTTCTGGATTTTACATGCAATATTTTAACCCCAGATCTGCAAGTTCCTAAAGATATTACGAGGATTATTTAACAAACTGAAGCTTAAGCTAGCAGAGAAACGATGAAACAGGAAGCCCAAGTTACTCCCTGGAGATATGTCTTTGCATGAAAAGGTCTGCCCAGACCTGTGAAAGCGAACCAAGCAGGAAGGACCACATTGACTCCCACTAACTGTGGTTCAGAAGGCATAAACTAGCAGATTTTCGATCCAATTTCCTTTAATTTCCATCAAAGTGTCCCAAATGTCTAGCTAGATACTAGGCTTTTAAAGATTAATCAACCATTCAAATAGATATGATTATTATTTAACAGTTACAGAAGGCTCCCCCTCACACATGTTGCTATCTACAAGGATAGTGTCCTCTTAGATTCATAAAAGCTATTCTAGGACTCTATTTTCTTATGATGAGTAAAGAATATTACATAGGGTTTCCTGGAATATTTTTGATATAGTAGTTTTAATAGAATTTCTGTTTGATTAAGTCTTATGGGAGGTAATACCCTTGTCAAATTTTACTTTGAGAAACTGGAAAAGCACAGATATCTTCACTATACATAAAAAAAATCAATCTACTTTTAATTTATACAAATGAGACTTCCAACAAATTAGGACACTCAAGCTTTATTTTTCAAAAGTCAAAATGAAAGCTAGCTTTCACTAGTGAGAATCCTGGAAAAGTATTTAAATATCAAGTAAGATTTTTGCACTTTAATAAAGTTAGTTATGGCATCAACATAAACATATCACATGAATATTAATTATCAGTTAAGCAATTGTGCTAAGAGCA